GCGTCGTGTGTGTGTGTGTGTGTGTGTGTGAGGGGAACAGGGTCACATCACAGGAGAGTGAACTTGTGCTTGTGGTGTTCGGCCAATCACAATGCACTGAGTCAGCTGGCCAATCAGAGCAGACTGCGCTTGTCAAAGGAGGGGGCTTTGTTTAAAACGACGCGTTTGAGAGAGGCGGGGCATAGAGGACCTACAATAATGTACAGTATTTGAAAAATAATGTGTTTTTTGAACATTAAAGCATGTCATCAACATATTCTGTTACACCAAATACACAAAATAATGATCTTTAAAATAGCATCATATGACCCCTTTAAACTACAATCATCCAACCTAATTGTTTCGTCACCCAGTGTATTTATGTTTTGAGGAAGATACGTTGATTTCAAACTCTAAATTGAATTTATTTTAACTAAAAAAGACAAGTAAACAGTCAGTAATAAAATAAGAATTGCTAAATGACAAGCAATGGCACAAACAAATACAATAACAAGATACAGCTAAAATTATTTTTAGGTAAAACAGTAATATTCATGTACAGAAATACCACAGAAACTGAATCATCTGTTTAACTTTAAAATAACACTGGCTAGTCTTCAATGCTGTCCTGCAGACAGCAGGTTTATTTAGGTTGCTGTCTCTTTAAGACCTCATGCATGGATCTAACTGTTAGTTTTGTTTCTCAACTGTTTACATTCACTTAATAGCCTATATACTGACAATGTTTAGTATTAAATCGACTGTTTACATGAATACTCATCAAGACGGGCATTTTGACATAATTTTGTATGTAATTGGCCGTTTACGTGCAATAAGACGCAACACAACTTCACTCTGTAGTTGTAATGTGTGCGCGCTTTGGGTGTGAGCTCAGAGAAAGGGGTCTCACAGTGAGTGCGCAGTACTGAATTGAGCACTTGAATGTTTAAATTGTAAGAATCAAAAGCACGTGCAAATGATACATTCCGTCATCTGTCCCAAGTGTCTTCACGCTGAAATATTTGTGGGAATTTCCCACGTTACAAGCGCAGAAACTGCGGGAATCAGTAGAATTATGTGTAATCCCGCGCCGAAATTCAAACCCCTGTTGAGATTACATTTCACAGTGTTATGAAATTAGTGTTTTTTGATCCGTTGATAATGGAAAAGGTAATCAAAGTAAACAGAGGAAGTGAGCGGCACAAATAAATATTCAATGACCAATACAGATAAATTACGAAATCTTGAATTGTTCAATATATTGTGCATCCTTATGCAATATATTGTGCATCCTTATTAAAAATCAAATTGCTAATTATTAAAATTACAATTATTACAAAACTATACAGTTATGGACATTGTAATCAACAGCAATCCTTAATGTTTAAATTATTAGAATATATTAATTATTTTTGTATCTTAAAGTACCCCTATTGTGGGTAATGAAAGGTTCATTTTTTGGTTTCGGGAGTCCCCAACAACAGGTTGACATGCATGCAAGGTCAAAAAACATTTTCATTGTGTTATAATATGCATTTATTGTTGACCTATTTGCTCAACAACTCCCAAACGATTCGTTTAACGATTAATTTTTCCAAACCCCTCCTTTGCTTGACACTAGTCTGCGGTGATTGGTCCGATTGGTCTCATTTTCATTTCATCATGCCTGTGATGTCTGATAAAGCAGCGTTTGTGAGTGCAGTGCTGCTTTGTGTACAGCCGTTACCGGGGAAACTGCTATTTTTACTGCTGCAAAAGCGGCACCTAGTGGCAAAGAATGAATTTGCATTTTCATTTAGACCAATGTGAAAAGACCAACAAATGGGTGGGCAATATGCTAATGTTTCATGATGACGTCAACATGAAACGGCTTGGGATTCGCTTTAAAAACGACTCGTTTCAATGATTCAGAGTCGACTCTTTCTTTTGAGAGACAATTACTTTATACTGTGCACTTTCAGATTTAAAACTTTGCAGAATGTTTTCATTCACTTAGAGCTGTGTTACACACTGCATGAAAGGTGATTTTCAAAAATCCATAATAGGGGCACTTTAATACTTTTTATATTATATATCATGCACATTGTATTACTGTACTTTTTTGTATTTAAAAATACTTTATTTTTATAGAATTTAATTTTGTAGTACTTTTCACACACATTTAAGGATGATTCTTTTTCTCAATTATGATTAGAGAAAATGTTACAAAAGGGCAAATAATCATCTATTGGGAATCCTATAAGGTTTTTTTTTGGGGGGGGGGGCTGATTTGGTGCTTACGAATCATTTATGATTATTATTGTTGAAAACAGTTGTGCTGCTTACTACTTTTGTGGAAACTGTGGTATATTTTTCCAGGATTCTTTGATGAATAGAAAGTTTAAAATAACAGCATTTATTTGAAATAGAAATCTTTTAAAACGTTATAAATATCATTACTGATATTTATGAACAATTGAATGTACTCATGCTGAATAAAAGTATTTATTTAAAAAAATAAATAAAAAAAACTCCTCTTGAACGTTACTGAATGTTTTAAAAGAAACTAATCTGAAAATGTCATGTATTTCTAGAATTTACAAGATGGCGAGAACCTTCCACAGTTAAACGGAAGAGATGTGGGCAATAGAAACATTCCCTTGACACATGTGGAAAGGAGGAAGATGTTTCCAGCACGAGCTCAGGATCACAGCACTGTTTTGACTCCGCTCAATAACCAAGTGGACAATAGCAGAAATATTAAACCAGATATTTCTGCAAAGAGGCTTCAATTTAGTGCATCCAACGACTGTACTACTCCACTGGGTAAAGCTGATTCCCATCAGTCCATTGGGAACGGTCTTATAAAACCAGAGCTTCCAACAGAGCCCAAATCCTCAGTAAAGAGAGCTTTTGAAGAAGTAGAGAAAAGCCCAGAACAGGCTGAGATCCATTGCAAGAAAAACGACGCAGTGTACAAGAGGTCTTTCCACATTCCTGAGGACAACTCAAGGGTCCACACAGGCTTGACAGGAATTTTCTCAATTGTGGGGCTTGATGATGTTAAAAGTGCACCGATATGTCAACAGTTGAGTGAGAGAATGGGCCCAAAGCAATCTAGTCCCATAGCCGTGGCCAAAAACCTCTTCTGTGATCTCGAAGATCAAGGCGAGGAGGTGGCTTTGCTTAAAGCAGAGGCCAACTCGAGCTCCCCGACCTCACCCGGTGATGACCGAAATATCAGAAGAAGCCTTAGTTTAGATTCGGATGGCTCGGCCCATGAAATGTCAGTGGTTGCTAACACACCACAAAAATCGAAGGACTTAAAACAAGAGGCTTTGTTGTCCTCTTTTGAGGAGCTGGATGAAAATGAGATTTCCGTAGTCACACCGGCGGCCCGACCCACATTGGCTACACCAAAGCATAGCAGTGCAAAGCAGCATAGGGGTAAATCTGAGCGTTCTCTTCTTAGCCATCCTCATAGGTTGTCTGACAGTATGGTCAAATCGCCTGGCTTCCTCAAACCCAGGAATGTGGTTGTGTTCAGGAGCTACTGTAGCTCCATAAACCGCTCTTGTATGTCACATCTCAGCCTGGCCTCTTTGGATGCCATGGAAATGTCTGCGTCAACCTCTTTCCACAATGCCCAGTCTGCAGTGACTCCGGTTCAGAAGAAAAGGCCTAGTCTGAGCAGCTCACTTTACCAGGTGAGGAGCCTCTTAGAGTCGTTTGGAACTCAAACAAAACTGGACAAAAAGGATTTAAATCAGAATTGGAAAATAATGAATGTTTTCTTTTTCTTTTCTAGACTCCACAGCAGATGATTATGTCTCACACTCCCTATAGGACACCAAAAAGTGTTCGTAGAGGTCCAGAACGTGTAGAAGGGGCTCCTATCCTGGGAACTCCTGATTACTTGGCGCCAGAACTTTTATTAGGCAAACCTCATGGTAAGAGTTTAAGTGGTCAGTGTATAGAAATATGTGTTGGTCTTTTATGCCTCAAATATTAACAGGTTCATTCAATGGTAGTTCATTATTCATTAACATATATTATGTTTTAGTTTCAGGGTCTGTACGCTGTGGTAAGTATGCTAAAAAGTATTCAGATCAGATTCCAAGCCATAGAGATGTTGGTGCATGTGTGGGCAGCTTTACCGCAGTAAGGCCCCGATATACTCACAGCGAAGTTCTTCTTTGTACTACGCTCCAGAATTCCCATCAGTCTGGCAAAAAGAAGTTTGAAATGCCTGAGCAGTGGTATACTGTTAGCGACCACCTTCTGCATTTAGATGAATATGTGCTGTGCGCTTTCCTCTCAATAACAAAATAAACAGCAGTGAGAAAACAGCAGCACCTGATTGCAGAGATGCGGATATGTTTGCACCAGCTCTCCAGTTCGGTATTCAAGCCATGTCACATTTATTTGTATAGCACTTCATTCCAAAGATTGATTTAAAGGGGTCATATGATGCGATTTCAATTTTTCCTTTCTCTTTGGGGAGTTACAAGCTCTTGGTGCATAAAGAAGATCTGTAAAGTTACAAAGACTAAATTCTCAAATCCAAAGAGATATTCTTTATAAAAGTTAAGAGTCAACCATGCCTACCTAAAACGGCTCGTTCTAACACGCCCCCACGTCTAAGCGCTTGTTGTTTGTCATTTCTCCGATCACAAATGCCGACATGGATTTATGCTTACGCAGCGCGATACGCAACGCAACGCGTAAAAACAGCATAAGCCATTATAATCCGTAATTATGTCCCCACTGGATGCAACAAATGCCTCATTTATAATTGGTTTGACTGGTTTTGTCTCGTCACGCCGGGACACGGCATCACAGTATGGTAAGGGGCGTAACATTTCCGTCACACGCTTGAGGTATTCGGCCAATCACAACGCACTGGATAGCTGGCCAATCAGAGCACACCTCACTTTTCAGACCGATGAGCTTTGTAAAAATCGACGAGTTTTAGAAAGGCGGGGCATATAGGAGAAACAATAATGTACATTATGTGGAAAATGTGTTTTTTGAACCTTAAACCACATAAACACATTGCGTTACACCAAATACACCAAATAATGTTCTTTTTAGCAACGTCAAATGACCCCATTAAAACAAGCAGCTTTACAGTATTACACAAAATGTGATAGCCTTGCTTTCAATTAGAATTACACTTCAAAGAAGGCGCAACCACAGATCACGCCTACCTATGGACCAATGGTACTGTAGTTTGAAGGTGTTTAGCAGTCAGCTGACTGTTTACGGAACGTTTGTTTTGGCAAGATGCTTTAAACTCCTGAAACCAATGTCAAACATACTTTGTTTTGGCCCGATTTTGTTAGAAATTATGTCACACTTATTTTTTTCTTGTTTTTCTTTTTTTGTATATCGGGGCCTTTAGTTAAGGACATGGCTGATTAATTATTTTATGGGTTTCAGCTTTTGTGATTGGCGGCTTCTGATTCATCACCCTTAATGCTTCAGTAATGCTGTATGAACTCTGTTGGGATGCCATGGTGGTTCTTGGGAATTCTGGGATGTTCTAATGAAATGCAGGGAAAAATATTTTCTGGTGTCCCAGTTTATGGAGTCAAGTAAAAGTAATTTTGTGTCTTGACTTCCTGAAAAATGTGAGCACTAACTTTGTGGTGCTTTCCAAACATTGCTCTCTTTGTTTTCAGCGGAATGAGATGTCAACTTCTGATAAAACCAATGGTGTGAGTTTGGGGTGGGACTACCTGTTTGGTTGGAAGACTGTGGGATGGTTTGGGGATCAGTTTTGACACAAACACTTAACATATACACACAGCTATGCGCTTAACCTTTCAAAATATACTCCATTTTGCAGCATGTGCAAACACAGGCACTTGACACATTAGAGAGTTACATATTTTGTCCAGTGTCGGTGCAATTTCTCTCCAGAAGCTGAGTGTGGAAGTCTTCATACTCATTTAAACCACACACAGGTGCCTGCCTGTCAACACGGGCGTCTATTGTGGTACCATAATTTATTGTTATATCTCATCTGTTTCTTTCGCTTGAACCAACTTACTAGTACAAAAAATAAAAATAAAATTGCTCCACATGAACTGTTCGCATACCCTATTGTACAAATAAAAACTGACATATACCTTGGATATATTTGTTAAACCCACATTATAGTTTAGTTTTATGTGTACACTAGAGTATCCGTACAGAGTGTGTGGCACACATTTTGAAGGAAATAGCGCAATGTTGGACAAAGATCAAACTTTTTAGTATGCATGTGTTGACTGCCTGTGTTTCACGCACGCTGTCAAATTGAAAGGCTATGCTATATGGTTACACTAAGCATTTGCGTGAAAACTGAAGTATACTTTTAGGTTAGCAGTTTAAACAAGTTCAGGTTTGTCCTACAGGAATAAAAAACGCCTCATTTAGTGCAGCTTGTTGAGAAGATGTGTGGTATTACTTTAGCAAACAGTTACCATCGAAGAAGGGACTAAGCCAAATCTAGAGACTTAAAGCTGTACTCTTTTGATTGTCTTTTTGACCACCCAGAACACCCTGGCAACCACCCAGCACATCCTAGATATTTAAAAAATTATTATTATTTTTTTTTTCATTTAGTCATTTGTCACTGCTGGCATGAGAACTTCACCTTTTTTAGGCTGAAGGCTTTTTTCCCCCTCCAAGTTGGTCAGATTTGAAGATATTTATGTCTGATAACAACTGAGAAGATGCAATTTTATGTAATGTAACATATGTATATATATTTTTTGTGTTGTGCCTATTCCTTTTCCCTTCAAAATCAACTTATGACCACTGCTGTCACTGCTTTATAATAGTGGTCACATTCTAACACATTTTGTACCAATGTGCATGTTTATAGAAATGGAACTTTTAGTCTTAAGTTTGTTTTTTTTTTGCTCTCCAACAGATTTCATGGTGGATTGGTGGGCGTTAGGTGTTTGTCTGTTCGAGTTCCTCACGGGAGTCCCACCGTTCAATGACGAGACCCCTCAGCTGGTGTTCCAGAACATTCTCAACAGAGGTAAGAGGGCCAATAATAATACAAATGTCAAAGGCAATGAAAAAAAAAATGCATTATATTTTTTTTTATCATGAATATAATTAAATTTTCTTGTGGTTATTTCAATAGATAATCTTAACTAATCTCAACTGTTTATTTTCTCCTCATTATGATCTCAGAATGGTTCCACCATATGTGTGAATTTATGCCCCACGAAAATATTAAAGTGCCCCTATTATGGGTAATGAAAGGTTCATATTTTGTAGGGGTGGAACAGTTCAACTTACTCACGGTTCAGTTTGTATCATGGTTTTAGAGTCACGGTTTCAGTACGGTTCGGTATGTGCTATGTTTAGGGGAAAATATACTGTCAAATAAAAATAAAGAAAATAAGAATAATCTAACTACAAGCAACAGCACAAATAAATACAATAGAGTAAAGATACAAATAAAATAAACAGTGATTTTCAGTTTTTTTTAGGTAGGTCTAACATTAGTTTTTAGGTACAGAAATTGAATAAAGTAATGAAATGTAAAACAGCATTGCATATTTGACTGTATAAATTAAAGATGAATCTTTATTAAAGTTACAAAAGCTATTCAATCAAGAGCAGTGAGTGAATTCGTTGTTGTTGCTGTTTGATTAATATTAAGAAAGTGCTGTCACTTTAAGAGAATGTACTGATCCAGTGCACTGAGACAGTACGTTCAGCCGACTATGTTGGCATTTTGACACAATTTTTGTGTGAATTTGTCCATTTAAACACAATACTTCAGAGAGAGCTTAATATTTGCGCGCGTTGTGAGGCGCGGGTTTGCGCGCTTCGGATGAGCGCACGCACAAATCTCACTGCGCGCGCAAGCGTCTTCCGGCTCTTAAATGTTTAAACTGGCAAAGCTTAAATTAGTTTAGTTTAAACACAGATATCAACGTGTGTTGTTCAGGTCTCACCTGTGCGCGCGCGCTATCAGCACCCGGGTGATGACGTAATAAATGACTGCTCATATTCCAGAATACAGCATTCGCATTGAACAAAAGTGAATGGTTTGTCCACGTTTTTTTTTTTCATCGCTGTTGTTGTAATGTACTGGGAAGCCAGAATGCGCGTCCATCAACAGAAACATACATTAGCCGAACCCTGTTTGTTTTACGTGTTATTTATAGCAAACCATATTACAGATGCGTTGTCAGATTTTAAGTTGAACCGCGGTCCTAGCGCGTGCCGAACCGTGTGTGGAGAACCATACGGTTCGATTTTTTTCCGCGAACCGTTCCACCCCTAATATTTTTGTTTTGGGAGTCCCCAACAACAGGTTGACATGCATGCAAGGTCAAAAAAAAATTTAATTGTGTTATAATATGCATTTATTTTTACCTATTTGCTCAAAGACTCCCAAACGATTCGTTTAACGATTCATTTTTCCAAACCCCTCCTTTGTTTGACGCTAGTCTGCGGTGATTGGTCCGATTGGTCTCATTTTCATTTCATCATGCCTGTGATGCCTGATAAAGCAGCGTTTGTAAGCGCAGTGCTGCTTTGTGTACAGCCGTTACCGGGGAAACCGCAATTTTTACCGCTGCAAAAGAGGCACCTAGTGGCAAAGAATGAATTTGCATTTTCATTCAGACCAACGTGAAAAGACCAATAAGTGGGCGGACAATATACTAATGTTTCATGTTGACTTCAACTTGAAACGGCTTCGGATTCGATTTAAAAATAACTCGTTTCAATGATTCAGAGTCGACTCTTTCTTTTGAGAGACAATACATTTATACACTGTGCACTTTCAGATTTAAAACTTTGCAGAATGTTTTCATTCACTTAGAGCTGTGTTACACACTGCATGAAAGGTCATTTTCAAAAATCCATAATAGGGGCACTTTAAAAGTTAATGTTAATTATGAAATGTTAATGGATTTCTTGGTTTGTTTGTCCTCTGCACCATGAGAAGAATGTTGTGTTGACTGTGTCTGATCTACATGTGCTTCATATATGATGTGTTCAGATATACCGTGGCCAGATGGAGATGAGGAGTTAACCCATAATGCAAGAAATGCCATAGAGATTCTTCTCACTATGGATCCAACCAAACGGGCTGGCTTAAAAGGTGAATACGCACACACACACACACACACACACACACACACACACACACACACACAGAGAACTAGCATCTAACACTTTATGAATTCTTACAAGTAATATGTTTTAATGACCAAAATACTTTAAATTCTCAATACTAATGTGTACTAACGTTAACACTAATGTTTTCTTGTGTCTTTCTGTAGAGCTAAAGGGTCATCTGTTCTTTGATGGTGTGGACTGGGAAAACCATCACCATCAGACTATGCCCTTCATTCCTCAGCCTGATGATGAGACTGACACCTCGTACTTTGAGGCGAGAAACACAGCCCAGCATCTCACTGTATCAGGCTTCAGTCTGTAATACACACAAACTGTGCCATGGACTCATACAGTAAGTTCAGGTGCAGCTGGAAACTCTAATGTATACAGATCCCACAGTGCTCTTGTTTATTCTCCATCCTGCTATCTTTATTCATGTTTTGTATGTTCTTGAAAATACATGTTTAGAATGACGTCATGTTGGAAAGCATCCTGAAATGCAGTGAGGTGGGATTTTAACCCTTTTGCACATACATGCCACAAGACTTGTGGTGTAAAAACACTATGCTTGTCGGACTGAAATTTTAACATGCTGAATGTTTTAACTAGTCTACAGCAAGTATGATTCTGAACATGGTTGTTTGCTGCTTAAAAAAATAACTTTGTCAATTTAAAATCATAAATACATATACATTTTGAAAAATGTGGTTTATAACACTTGCCTATTTTTAGATGATTCTGGAAATGTTTCAAGTTCAATTAAATAAAATACAGTTGTCGTATTAATAAATGAGCATTATTTCTTATTAACTTTGAATCTTAAAACCTGTGCGGTTTCTCACATGTAAGCAAAAATGTATTAATTTCACTAGAATTCACAGAATTGTCTATACATGAGGCATATATAATATTTCACACATTTACATATTCACAGTAACCCTGGTGTCATTTAATGTACTTCATAATGTTGATGATAAAGCATGGAATGTATTTTCTTACGTTAGGTCAAAAGTAATCAGAATACATTACCTAATATGTGCAATCCAATACATTACAGTGCAATTTTGCCATGTAATTTCTAATCAGTAATGGACTACGTGTAAGTAATCTACCAGATACAAAAAAATCAGATGATGATTTGATGTAAGTGTGAATTGTAGCATTAAATATAGTGCAATATGGGAATATACACAACTCCAGTTTTTAAAAGCTTTTAATAATGCTTTAGTCTAACATATGAAATGACATGTATTGTGACAGTGGTGAAACATGCGTTGATCATCTGGCCAGAAGGCAAATTTATGCAAAATCTGCAATGGTTAAAAAGCATTATATCAAGAACCTTCTGCTCTACAGATGATTCAAAGTAGTATTACAGACATGAATAATATATGCAAATGCTACATTACAGTATAGTAAAATTATATAATTTTTTCCATGTATATATTTTGCACATTTCTAATATACAATTATTAACATCATTGACTAATTTACACAAACGACAATGAAACAAAACTCGCATTTCTCAGTTAAAAAAAACATCCCATGTAAATTATTTATTAGATTTCAGTCTTATATTAGTCTTGGAGCTCTAAACATTACACATTTTATTTATTTCAGTTCTTAATCTGTCTTCACATTCATCCAAAGTGCTTTGCAAATCAACCCGGGTAGTTTTCGATCTCAATTACACCTTGCAAACATTGACAAAGGTTTTACATTTCTCATGCATAGTCTTTGTAGTAATATTCAAAATATTCACCACAGCCAGGAATTAAAATTAGTAATGATGCGAACATGTTGACAAATGCTCTGACAAAATACAGTGGACCCGAAAATATTTGCACACCTGAGTCACGCTAATGTTTGAATGTCACTGTAAAAAAAATTATAATAAAAAAAACATCATTCTTCAAATTATTTTCTCTTAAACTTCACTTATTTAACCATGGTTTTATTATCTGAAACCTACACTTCTTTTTGTATATATATATATTTTTTAAAGTGTGCTTGTCTTTCTTTCAAATAAATGACACTTACTTTGATTTGTTTTTTCAAGGAATGGTTCACCCAAAAATAAAAATTTGCTGAAAATCTATTCACCCTCAGGCCATCCAAGATGTAGATGAGTTTGTTTCTTCATCAGAAGAGATTTGGAGAAAATTTAGCATTGCACTTGCTCACCAATGGATCCTCTGCAGTGAATGGGTGCCGTCAGAATGAGAGTCCAAACAGCTGATAAAACATCACAATAATCCACACCACTCCAGTCCATCAATTAACATCTTGTGAAATGTAAAGCTGCATGTTTGTAAGAAACACCCTCCTGATTCAGACGAGATTACTAACATTACTTGTGGATTATTGTGATGTTTTTATCAACTGTTTGGACTCTCATTCTGACGGCACCCATTCACTGCAGAGGATCCATTGGTGAGCAAGGTTCACCCAAAAATAAAAATTTGCTGAAAATCTATTCACCCTCAGGCCATCCAAGATGTAGATGAGTTTGTTTCTTCATCAGAAGAGATTTGGAGAAAATTTAGCATTGCACTTGCTCACCAATGGATCCTCTGCAGTGAATGGGTGCCGTCAGAATGAGAGTCCAAACAGCTGATAAAACATCACAATAATCCACACCACTCCAGTCCATCAATTAACATCTTGTGAAATGTAAAGCTGCATGTTTGTAAGAAACACCCTCCTGATTCAGACGAGATTACTAACATTACTTGTGGATTATTGTGATGTTTTTATCAACTGTTTGGACTCTCATTCTGACGGCACCCATTCACTGCAGAGGATCCATTGGTGAGCAAGAGATGTAATTAAATTTCTCCAAATCGGTTCTGATTAAGAAAAACGTATCTACATCTTGGATGGCCTAAGCAAATTTACATTTTTAGGTGAACTATTCCTTTAAGCCAGTGACGTTCAGACATTTTTAAGATGTGTTGCTCAATGTCTACACACATTAGAGGGAGCCGGATAGGTCAGTTCTTTCCAGGCATCATGATGGGATGTTGAGCGGATGAAGAACGTACAGTAGTTTTCGATATTGCCTTCTGACCCTTTCCTCAGATTTGCCAAACAAGGGTCAGCTACATAAGCATTGTAAGCATATTATGGCTTTAAAGAGCACCACAGATCACTTATGCGAACGCTAAGATATTAATGTATATTAAAAAAAATATTCATACGACCTCCAACAATTTGAGGGGTTCCTGATTTATTCCCATTACGGTTCAAACCCCAAATATGGGCTCTTTTCTGCCAAACATGCCAAGAATCAGATAGATATTCAAGCAGAAATCACCTGTGCTGTACTCATCAGTGCATCCTACACATTGCTACAGTAGTAATGACAATTAGCAGCTATGTGTGCAAAACATTGAATGATATATACTCGACATGAAAGTTATTATAATGCCCTTAATAATGGATTTCTATTAACAGGATTAACGAAAATTTGACTTTTAATTACCGAAACCGGGTATTCCCGACTTAGCAAATTGTTACATTAAAAAACAATAAGTACAAAAAAAGCTCGTGATAAGCTGCATCGCTGTACATTCACTCTGTCTTTCAATTAGCTAATTCTTAAGAGTTGTCATCATAGTGCAAAAGCAGAAGTTAGGGATCACGGGACAGGCTGAGAAACACCCTCCTCCTCCTAAATGCGTAACGCGGCTCTCCTCTGGGTCTCCAGAGATGTCGAACCATCAGTCGATTCCTTTCAGTTGATTCTTCTGCAACAAGATGATCCAATCTTTAACATTCCTGCCATCACATACAAATTTGCCATCATTTTTGTTTTGCTCTGAATATAATCATATATTTTGTAATGTGTGATAAATACCTATAAAGCTATATTCAAACTACGCAGTAGTATGCAAAACAGTAAGCAGTGTGCAACAATTAATGTTTCAAACCGTATTAAAGGAGTAGTTCACCCAAAAAATGTTATTTGCTCACCCTTAGGCCATCCGAGATGTAGATGAGTTAGTTTGTTTCTTCATCAGAACAGATTTGGAGAAATTTACCATTACATCACTTGCTCACATCACACATGCATGCGGCAGCCATAAGTCCGCAAGACTGCAAGTGCATATGAAGTGTGCCATTTGGGACAGGGCCATAGATGCAGTGAATGGGTGCCGTCAGAATGAGAGTCCAAACAGCCGATAAAAACATCACAATAATCCACAAGTAATCCACACCACTCCAGTCTATCAATTAATGTCTTGTGAAGTTAAAGATGTATATTTGCAATAAATGAATCCATAATTAAGATGTTTTTAACTTCAAATTGTTGCTTGTGGCTAAAATATGAATGAGTGAATTATCCATAATATTGCTTTCTCAAGTGAAAAAGTCATCTCGTCTGAATCAGAGGAGAAATATGCAGATCAAACACCATTTACAAGTGAAAAAAGTCCAAAACAGTTCTAAAAAAATAAGTCGGTGGATTTTGATGTGAGAGGGCAACAGGGGATGGACTTCTTCAATTATGGATTATGGACTTGTATTTTGGCTAGAAATGACGATTCAAAGTTAAAATGCCTTAATGATGGATTAGTTTTTTTTACAAACACACAGCTTTTCACTTCAAAATACACTAATTGATAGACGAGTCGTGTGGATTACTAATGGATTATTGTGATGTTTTTATCAGCTGTTTGGACTCTCATTCTGACGGCACCCATTCACTGCAGAAGATTGGTGAGCAAGTGATGTAATGCTACATTTCTCCAAATCTGTTTTTATGAAGGAACAAACTCATCTACATCATGGATGGCCAGAGAGTGATTATACTGATTATGCAAATTTTTTTTTTTGGGTGAACTATTCCATTAAATGATGTGCCAAAATGTGTCATTCAAGTATTCATACAGGAAATTTGCACAGTGTCAGTAAGATGCCCTGTATGAGTTTTTATCTCATATTTATATAATATGATGCAGTTTAGCAATATCACGCTAGCAGGAGTGCAGATTTTCCCCAAATATCTGCACGACTGCAAATAAGATACTGTTTTTATGCAAGAGTTAATACTGTCTTACATTTTTGCCAACGAAAGTAGTTCCAAACAAAGCCACAGCAGAACTGTTGTGCATCACCGAGCAACACACAGCGATGTTTCATTACTGAATGAATGCACATTTATGAATGAATCAAGTAAAGCCAATGATTCAGTGATCCATTTGAATGAATTGCTGAATGACAAGCCACCAGCTACTGATGGTTTTAGTTTCATATTTAGTGTTACTATTTCATTTTTTTTTAAATAATCATTTCAATTTTATGGCCACATTGTAGCCTTAAAAGTTTGAGTAATAAATTGTATGTTGAATCAAAAAATGTCTTATATGTTTTGATTCAACATATCAACATATACCTAAAAACATATATCACAGTTTCCACAAAAAATATAGTATACAGTGGGTACGGAAAGTATTCAGACCCCCTTCAATTTTTCACTCTGTTATATTGCAGCCATTTGCTAAAATAATTTAAATTAATTTTTTTTCCTCATTAATGTACACACAGCACCCCATATTGACAGAAAAACACAGAATTGTTGACATTTTTGCAGATTTATTAAAAAAGAAAAACTGAAATATCACGTACCCACTGTATATATATATATATATATATAAATTATATTTTTTGTGGAAACTGTGATATATGTTTTTAGAATTCTTTGATGAACAGAAAGCTCAAAATAACAATTTATTTTAAATAGAAAATACACATGTATTTATCACTTTTAATCAATTTAATGCATCCTTGCTGTATAAACGTATTTATTTATTTTAAAAAATACTAACCCCAAACTTTTTAAGCAGTAGTGTATATACTTCTAAAATAAAAAGAATAGTATCTTAGTGGTACATAGCTGATGGGATAGTGCTTACCTTCTCCTGCGCTGCACATACAGACGGATGAGCCACTGCACCACAAACGGCCAGATGACAGCAAAGGCCACAGTTCCTGGAGACACATCGAAAGGCCACCAGGATGGTTTCTGTAAAGTGTAAATAATGAAGATAATATGTCAGCACTCAGTGTATGGCAATGGCATTGTTAAAATTACATTTTATCAGTTCATGCATTCACTGGGAATCGAACCCTGTTTGAGCTACCGGTATGCTCTCCTTTTAATTCCTGAAACTCTTTAAAACATCCCATCAATCAGTTTATTAAAATGACTTTACCTTCTTCGTTTTATTTGCAGGTGGTGACAAGTAGTCTGGTGGCAGCACTAAGGATCGGGCCTGAGAAGTTGCACATGACAAAGCAAAAATGTAATATTTCATATTTAAACATATAGTGTTATATGTTGTGCTGTGTGAAAAGTGACTGTTTGTAACCTGCGAGGCTGTTAGAGCTTCCAGCGTGTGTAGCCTCTCTAAGACACTCTGCATGTCGTCCTGCAGTCTGGCCAGAGCACAGATTATCTGTTCGTTTAGATTGTCCGTTACAGATCCATCCGTCCCCCAGCGCTCCCCGTCTCCCCCACTGCCCTGCTGTGGTCCCGCTGACCCGGAGCCAAAGGCAGGTGACTTGGACCCTGATACACAGGAAAAGCAGCTGCAGTATGTGCAAACAGCTCAAACATTCTGTAGCTCATTAACAGAATAAAGAAACAAAGTTTCCAAAAAACAAATTTACTTGAGGATTCCAGCTATAGAGCATTTTAAGTTAACATATGTGCAATCAATTTTATTGTAAATATATTTCATCCAAAACTGACTATTTTACCCAGTATTTGTATATGCACCATGTATTGTTGTGCTTGTTAGAGTACTGAGTTGTTAACTAAGCAGCGTGCTAACATCAAATTCTACTTGAATCAACTGAGTCAAATCTTGTGTGCTTTACAGGAGTGCCAACTGCACAGAGTTATGTATGTTTTTTTTATTTTTATTTGGTCAGATTTGATGAGAACACTTAGCGTATGCGTACAGTCGAACTCATAGTCGTTTCAATAGTAGAATCCAGTTAGAATGCATTAGAAATTCAATATATGGGGGCAAAAATTCCCTGTACAAGTCTTATATTTATATCATATGATAGAGTTAAGCAATATCACGAGTGAGTGAGCTATTTTGTTGCCGAATGTTAGCATGGTTACAAATGTGATTGATTATACAAAACAGTTCAATAAACAAGAATTTTAAATTCTAATTTACATTTTAGGCATAATATTGCAAATATGAGGGCCTTTCGCACCGCTTTAGTTCCAGAACTAAATGTACAGTACTAAAGTACTGGGTCGATTTTGCGCGAGCTATTTCCCAGTACCATTTAAAGGGTTGCATTCGCACCGAGAGTGTGTACTAAGAAGTGACGTAAGCCGGTCGACAGCGTCGTCATTTGTGCACGGCGTTCAACAACAGAAACAAAAAAGAACAACATTAACAACAGGAGGATGGAGGACGCTGTGATAGGAGCTGTGTGTTTGTTGTGTCTCGCGGGTTTCACAATAATGGACATGGAAAAGTCGATGTATACGTAAAGCGATTGAAAGAACGGAAAGGAGGACTAAGAATCTCCAACGACAACTGGCAGTGCTACATTTGCTACAAGTGCCTGCACTTCAGCGTCCGTCCATCTATCGCTGTTCTCCATACTTGCGAAATAAGTTGACACAATGTTTACAGTATGTTTACACGGCATTTTAAATCGTGGCAGGTGAGGGCGTTTTCATACGCGTTTGGCTAATCAATGCCTACTTACGTCACGATTAGTACCAGTTGTGCTGGTTAGACCCTGCTCCGGAGTAGGAGCTAATTTGGTTCTCGAAAAAGGCAGTCCGGTACTAAAATCGCACCCAGTTCCGGTGGTGCGAAAACGCCAAAAAGTGGGTAGTTCCACAATTAGTTCTGGTACTATGAAAAGGTTCCCGCGGTGCGAAAGGCCCTATTGTTTATATTTGTACTATGTTGCCAAACCAAAACAAAGCCACAGCAGAACTATTGTGCATCTGCGAGCAACACACTTGTTTCGTTACTGAATGAACCTGCAATTTCTAAACAAATCAGGTGAGTGAATGATTCAATGACCCATTCATTGAAACAGTCACTTCCTCCATTCCTGAATGAATCAGCCATGAGTCATTGGCTTACTCATTAAGACAGTGCCTTGCCGCCACCTACTGGCAGTTCTAGTTTTAACTTCGATTTCTCATTTACACTGAACAAAATTATAAACGCAACATTTTAGTTTTTGCCCCCATTTTTCATGAGCTGAACTCAAAGATCTAAGACTTTTTCTATGTACACAAAAGGCCTATTTCTCTCAAATATTGTTCACAAATCTGTCTAAATCTGTGTTAGTGAGCACTTCTCCTTTGCCGAGATAATCCATCCACCTCACAGGTGTGGCATATCAAGATGCTGATTAGACAGCATGATTATTGCACAGGTGTGCCTTAGGCTGGCCACAATAAAAGGCCACTCTAAAATGTGCAGTTTTATCACACAGCACAATGCCACAGATGTCGCAAGTTTTGAGGGAGCGTGCAATTGGCATGCTGACTGCAGGAATGTCCACCAGAGCTGTTGCCTGTGAATTGAATGTTAATTTCTCTACCATAAGCTGTCTCCAAAGGCGTTTCAGAGAATTTGGCAGTACATCCAACCGGCCTCACAACTGCACACCAGCGCAGGACCTCCACATCCAGCATTTTCACCTCCAAGATCGTCTGAGACATAATTTTGTTCAGTGTAATTTCAGTATCACACACCCCTAGTCTCCAGTGGTTTGTAGTTGTGCCATCTCATCAGTTTCTTTTTTGGCTATAAAACCACAGGTTGGGTAAGTGTTGCCACTTTGCGGACAAACAAATTAGCGCAAAAAAATTAAGGTGCGTGAGCTGTGCATACGGAGTAAGAAAATCAGGCTGCATGCATACAGTACGCACACATATGCATATCCTAGCATATGCATAAAAACCGAAATATGATTTGGGAAGAACAGAAGCAATAGTAGAACAGAGCTTGTATATGATTGCTGCTGTTTGTACCTCTTTCCCTCCTGACCACAGAACTGTTACTTCTATTCACAGGAAGTCCCTGTCTCTGAGAACCTCCTCTGCTGCTCCATCCATCTTCTCCGCCGTGCTGTATGCCTTCCTCCCGTCCCAGCAGTTCCTCTTGTGATCTGATCTCTCCTGTCGAGGATAGTGTGCTGTGGCTCTCCTCGGCCATGTCTAGTGAGTGGCTGACGTGTAGCTCAGATCCCTGGATACCAGTAACAAAAGCACATGCATTTTGGGAAACCATTGCAGAGGTGCTAGCAGAGAGTAATGATGTGGTACCATTTACCTTAAAGGGATAGTTCACCCAAAAATTTAAATTCCATTATTATTTACTCATCCTCAAGTTGTTCTAAACCTGTATGAATTTCTGTCTTCTGCTGAACACAAAAGAAGATATTTTGAAGAATGTGGGTAACCAAACAGTTTCTGGTCTCCATTGACTTCCATAGTATTTTATTTTTTTTCAAACTATTCTTTTTAGGTGAACTATCCCTTTAACACTGTATCTTACCTTCCCAGCATCAAGTAATTTTTGGATCAGATATCATGTAAGCATAAACTGAAATCGACTTACTTCTTCTCCACAAAACTGGTCGATGGAGTCACAGTACACCTCGCTGTCCGAATCACTGGCTACATGGTGAGAACTGGACGCGTCTTCTGTTTCATATATATATATATAAAGAGAGTGATTCAGATCGGTTCACATAACTACTGCTAGTATGTCCTAGATCTTACTTTTAAAATAATAAATCAAGTCTTAGTTGGTAAATCATTACCCCCAATGTCCTTCTCCTCACTTTTGATGTGTCCATTGAGCTCAGTGACATCTCTGTTGTGCTTAATGTTTTCAGAGTCTTCTTCTGAATCCTGCCTGTTCAGATCAGACCTAGACTCGTGCGTTCCATTGGTAAGGCCTTTATGTTGGCCGATACTGCCATTAGATACTGGCTCTTTAGGTCTCCCTGCAGAAGCCCTTTTCTTCGGTTGTGAGGCTAAAAACACCAAGCATGTATTATTAATACACACATTATAAAGGAAATGTTAGTAGTGCTTACCAATGCAAAACTGCTCACGATACTGTATGGTTGCTAAGGCACTGCTAGGTAGTTGCTAGGGTGTTCTAGGTGGTTTGTAGGTGTACTGTGCAAAGCCAAAATAGAATCTAGAATTAGTTTCTAGATATGATTTATGTCCCTCCTTCAATGCATGGCTATTCAAGACTATTCAACTCTGAAAGATGCAATCTTTGCCAAACGTTTTTGGGTGAAAATGGTCCATTCATATTGTCAATTGCAATTTACACAGAAGTCACTTTAAAACCAAGCAGCTTTCTGTTGATCAGGTTGGCGAATTTGGATAATCAACTTGAACCTGTTGCAAAATCTGCATGAGGAAAGACTGCACAGCAATAGTAACAGTAATAGTGACATTTACCTTTAACTTCCTCTTTTTCGTTTTTTTCCTCCTCTTCCTCCTCATTATCATTTTCTCCGTCTTCCATGTCTATTGATTTAGTCTTTGGGGTTTCTGCTGTTTTGACGGGGTAACTGTCCAGGCTGCCATTCATCTCCATCGTCCTGATGATGCTTTTTGTGACACATTTGGGTGGTGACATTAGCATGCTCCCAAAGCCTGGAGACAACAACAATACGCATGTAAGATGATGCACTGAGGATACGTTCTGAAACTTAATATGCACACTTTCTAAAAGGTCTGCTCTTTCAGGACTATTTCACAAAAACTTAAGCTGTTCCGGTAACACTACAACCCTATAGAGAACCCGGAAATCTACACTAATAACAGCAGTGAGTGAACAACTAAGGTGGTATGGGAAACTCCTGGACTAAGGCACTATTAACTAAGGGCGCAGACCACTGGGAGAACACACTGCTATTCACTTGCCTTCAAGTTGCCTAGCAAATCTTTCCAAGCGGGCCGAACACGAAACAAAGGGGTAATTAGTTAATTAAGGTTAACAAAATGTTATAGTTATTTACAGTACATGCACACTACAGTTAATGTAGTGGGTCAGTAAGATTATGTTATGCTTAGCAAGGCTACATTTATTTTATCAATACAAATCTAAACTTTAATATTGTGAAATACAAATACAATTTCAAATAACTGTTGTAATATATATCAAAATGTAATTTAGCTGGATTTTCAGCATCTATTACTCCAGTCTTCAATGTCACATGATCCTTCAGAAATCATTGTAATATGCTAACTTGAAGCGTCCTTGCTGAATAAAAAAAAAGAACAACTCATAAGCAAATGTGATGCAAGTATATGAATTACTTCCTAACTACATTTTCGTCCTTATGTCAATGTAATTAATACAATGTATTTATTAAAGACTTTAGACTTTCTAGATGTAAGTGACATTTTAACACCAATTGAACTGATTTAATTTTATTTTTTACGACTTCATTTCTGTTTAATTTGAACTGATGCTATAGCTACGCCTTCATTACTTTAGATTTATTAAAAGCTCAACATTTTTAGGATATTTCTTACAAAGAAATGTCCAGTCATATTTAACCCCAAATTCAAGAGCAAAAAAGGTAAACAATAATATTTTTCATTAAAGATTACATTATTAATTTAGGTTTTTAAGTTTGTTAGTTTAGTAATTAATTTATTTAGTTTGTTAGTTAATTAATATGCATGTATGTGTGTGTGTGTGTATATATATATATAGCTTAACAGCATACATTTTAAATGTATTATTATTATACTTAGCAATTTAAATATTAAATATTATCTTAAAAATATATTTAGATTTTTGGGCAAAATGCAATTTTTGTGATTCACCTGAGAGAGCACTGTTATTCAGATTACCTGTGCTCAACTCGGACACTTGCGTTATCTTTTTCTTTTCATCAACAAGCTCATAGAACGGTCCAATGACCCGCAGAAGCTCCTCGACCTCATTTGTTACAGGCATGCTTTCCAGGATCTATTCGGCAAATTTAAAACAAAGTTTAACAAACCATTACATTAAATCATACAACATTTTCAAACACTGCAAAAAAATCTGAAACATTATACCAGTTTCAAATCTTCCACATAGGCCGCCATCGCCTCCTCCTTCGGCATTTCCCCAAGAGAATTCCACGCATCCCTAAAATGCAAGCAGGACAGTTCAACGAGAACTTTGCTCTGATAAGCTTGTCAACACTGATGTTGTCATCTCACGGTCAACTGAAACTCTAGCAGCGGTTTGCACCTTTCAAAACAACTCTCAGATGCATGTATAAAAGACAGAAGAACAAAAATAGTATGAAGCATAGTAAAATGGTCTGTGTAGAAAACATTTTTTGAACCATCTGACTCTCGGTTACATTAAAAACTTTCAACAAAGACTTTAAAATAGATTGTTTTTGCAGTACAAAAAAAAAAAGTACAAATGTGGAACTTTCAGTGGCACTAGTTACTAATAATACAAATCTGATGTGTTACTGATACTGATCTGTTATCTCAATGAACTTTCAACAGACCAACAGTTCACTTTCAATCTGTTATGGACACTGGTCTAAAGGGTGTAAACTCATTTAAAGGGGAAGTGTGTCATTTTTGCATCACTAGTGGCAACAAATGGAACTGCAAAAATATTGACTGTTTTCAAACTGATTTTAAAACACTACCCTTGTATGCCATTGGTTGAACAAGTATTCCATCCCCAAACTCACACCATGGACCCTTTTCACAAGACTGTGATGACGCGTTTCAACGGTCATCGGCATCGTAAATCCCCCAAAGTTTTTTTGCATCTTCATTTTTTTTAAATGTATGAACATTTATAACGCTATACTTTGTTTATTATATTACCTTTGCATAAAATTACAAAAAAACTAGTTAACGCAAATGCAAGGGTGTTTCTAATACAGCGTCTATGGGAGTGACGATAAATTTGACATCGTTCTCTCTACTGACTGGCATTATCAGTCTTTTTTTTTTTTTTGAAAGTCATGAAAACACTATCATGGAGTTTTTATTTTGCTATTTGAGCAAATGGGAATGCAAAACATATATTTGTGGTAGTCTCCCATTCACTGTTATAGAAGTTTACCCAACTATGATGACTTCTGCTGCTGAGAAACCCGGAAATGTGAAAAAGGTCCATTGGTTGAGCCATAATCTAACTTGACAGAGCAATGTTTTGGAAATGCTAACATTGTTTGCACTCTTTAGAAAGTCAGCTACTTTTATTAAACTGGGATATGAGAGACTTTTCTAACAGTGAAAAAATACACTTCAATTTTAAAGAACTAATAACACTCATAACTAAAACTTTCTTCATGAATTCACAAATCTGGGCATTTAGCAGGTTCAATACCATTTGGCTTTGCCAACGGGGTCCCAGAATCCTGGACGGGGAATCTTACAGGGGCCTTGTGTTGCTTGCTTGTAGTAGCTATAAAATTTCAGCATCATGTCATTGGAAGGCTGAAATGAACCTGAAAAAAATCAAATTAAAATCAACAAGTAATGCAATATTAGATTTAAAAAATAAATAAATGAGCCTATACATATAAGATTAGTCTGCAAGATTAGTCTTTAACGAGCCGAAAAGAATGCACATCACACCTCTGTTTATCAGTTTGCACTGGCTACCAATAACTGCTCGCATACAATTCAAGGCATTAATGTTTGCCCACAAAACCACCACTGGCTCTGCACCCCTTTACCTAAATTCATTACTTCAGAGTTATGTGCCTTATAGAAGCTTGCGTTCTGCAAGTGAACGGCGTATTAATACTGTATATATACATATATATCAAGAAACGTTTAATATTTGAGATTTTTAATATTAAAGATATATCTATCTATAATAGGTTAGTTGATTTCTCAAATTTAATATTTAGGAAGAAATCCTAAGAAGATCCAGCTTAATAGGTTTAGCCTAATTTATTTAAGAAAACCAGTAAGATTTTGTCTGATTAATGCTTGAACTTATTAGGATTCATTCCAAATTAAATTAATATAACATATTATATAATGTGTGTGTCTGTAGGTATATATATA